CCATGCTTTTAACTGCTTATGAAATATAATATACATGATAGACTTCTGAAATGTGGCTATCAAAAGATATTAATATAATTTTAAATACTGTCTTAAAGAAAAGTTCTCTTCTTAGACATGAATTAAGATCAACCTTTTAATTGATTAACGTCCATGTCGGAGAGCAGTGTAAACATATGGGAACTACAGAGTTCCAAATACTCACCTTTTCAAAGTTGTTCTTTAAGATTTATTTTTAATCACCTTTAATTATGGGTATGTGTATATGTCTGTGTGTGGATATATGCACATGCATGCAGGGGCCCATGGAGGCCAGAGGCATATCAGATTCCCCAGGAGATGGAGTGACAGGTGTGAGGGCTGGGAACTGAACTCGGGTCTTCTGCTAGAACAGTGAGTGTTCTTAGCCACTGAGGCCTCACTCCAGTCCCTCAGTGTTCACTGTTTGAACATAGACTTGTTTAGTAGTTGAACCATCAAGAACAAAAGCATGTACGCACTGTATGTCATGAATCAGGCAAAACTGTATGCATGTCCATTAAAGCCGCCAGCTCCTTGTTTATTCCTGAAAATGTGTATTCCTTCCCCAGACACACACACAGTAGCATGTATATTATGTATGTCATGAATCAGGCAAAACTGTATGCATGTCCATTAAAGCCGCCAACTCCTTGTTTATTCCTGAAAATGTGTATTCCTTCCCCAGACACACACACAGTCCTGACATTTATGTTGACCATAAAATCTCAGTAACTCTTAAATGAATGCTGATAAAATGAATAATCTCCTTCCTTTAGACAGACTCGCTTCACAGTGAGAGTCACCACCACTTAGCTCTTCCTTGACGTTCAGCATCACCAGACATCTCATGCATCTCAGCACGTAAATTCGGGTACTCACCAGCAGGCCCAGAACACAACATCTGGCCGTGCATGCTTTGACTGGAAAGGAGTGTGAGCTCCCAGGAGCTAATCTGTAGGTGTGGCCACTGACTTCTGAAGAATTGTGAATTAGTACATCATCCAGGTACAATCCATAACTTGTGATAGTGCCTGGAAGAGAGGAACCAGTTTCTAGTATGAACACAAGACAGCAAGGCTCTGTGAACGCCACCACTCCCTGTGGAATTATGCAACCTGGTCCCAACCCTGTCTCTTTTCAATGGACAAGATACTCTATTTTTAACTACCAGATTGTGAAGTAACTAAGCAGAGAGAGAGAGAGAGAGAGAGAGAGAGAGAGAGAGAGAGAGAGAGAAGAGCAAAGCAGATAGAGCAGTTCTAGAAGGAACCCATTAATATAGTATCATTTATGTTCCAGACCAAGAAGGAATAAATGGAGCATATTTACAGTTTTATTGTTTTCTAAAACATTCTTACTGTGCTGCTCTGGAAATAAAGTCACCTTACTTGTTACTACATCATTTCTCATATAGGTGAGAATATAGGTGGTAATGTGCTCAGCACTGGACCCGTGCTTAGTTCTTAACCCTTTCCTCGCAGCCTTCCTATAACAGAACTTGTATCATTAGTTACTCCATGTGGTAGTTTGAATGAGAAATGCCTCCTGCAGCCTCAAGTATTTGAAACCTGGTTCCCAGTTGGTGGTCCTGTTTGGCTAATGGAACCTTTAGGAGGTACAGCTTTGCTGGAGGAAGCACATCGCTGGGGTAGGCTTTGAGAATTCATAGCCTCACCCCACCTCCAGTTCCCTCTCTGCTCCATGTTGGAGGTTGAGGATGTGAGCTGTCAACGTCCTCCTCCGTCACCATGCCTACATCTCACTGCCATGCGTCCCCACAGTGAGGGACTCTGATTCTTCTGGTACTGTAAGACAAAACAAACTCTTGCATACTTTCCTTTTGGTCATGGTGTTTTATCATAGCAATAGAAAAGTAACTAACACACCCCTTTATAAGTGGAGAAACTGAGGCACAAACTTTCTGTAGCTTGGTCTAGGTTACCCAGCAGGCAAGCATTCGAGTTGGGATATTTGAATACAGAGTCCATGTTCTCCACAACACCTTGAGCCTTGCTATAATTGTCAATTACATTTATGAATGGGTTATACATATTTTCACAAAACCAACAGAAATGTGAGAAATTGAGATGGCTCCTAAATGAAACTCTATTCACTCAATCAAAATATTCTTTTGAAAAGGAACGTATAAATAAGAACAACCAAATTCACTAGAAACAGAATCTCCAGACAACATTGCACCATGGGAAATAAAACTGAGTCCATGTTATGTCACAACTATTATCAAAGTAAGATTAATTTCCAAAACATCTCCTGCACATGCTCCTGGGGAATTATTCTAAATATGCTTTTGTCAGTCAGTTCCCCGCCCCATACAGAAGTCAGGGGCTTCTCCCATGGCCTGCGATACATCTCCATCAGGGCCTTGATCCGTTTGTTGCATTATTAGGATTACTACCCCATGTTTAATTGCCTGCTCCACAGCAGGCTGTAGGATCCCTCAGGAAATCGTGACTCTTCTGTATCTGTGTATTTTCAGAGCTTACCATCATGCCCCAAACATAGTGGGTACATAAATTGACAAGTTGAATAAATTAACATGCAGCAGAGAAAAAATATCAGCATTTAACACAGAGTGATAATTTATGACTATTGAAAACAGAGATCCCTCCATACCTGAAAAAAAAATGGCCAGAAAATGGCATTGAAGCAAAGTCCTGAGGGAGGATTTTAAAATGAGAGTCTTGCCAAGTCAAGGTCAACCAGGAAGTGTCAAAATGTTAGCTCCTGGGAGACCTGACTTTGAGCTCTATGGCTACAGGGATCTGGTCTTGTAAATGTCCATAGAGTAGATCCAATCTTCACCCACCAGATGTTACTCCTGGAACTCTAATACCAGGGGTCCTTTACCCTCCTCATATCTGGCTGTCCTGGGAGGGAATTACTCACTTCTAGGTCTACTCATAGCGGTTTGCCCAATACTTGAGAAGCATTCCCATTGACCCATGGCCTGACAGATTGCTGGCAGAGCCTCCTTTAAATTTTTTTTTATTACACTTATTTAGTGTCAGAGGACAGCCTGTGAGAGTTGCTTCTCTCTCCTACCATGTGGGTCCCAGGGATGGAACTCAGGTCCTCAGGCTTAGCAGCAAGTGCTTGCTGAGCCATCTGATGGGGGGCGGGGGACATTTTTCTTTTAATTTGTCTATGTATGTGTGTTGTCTGTGAGTGTTGAGGTGTATGTATGTGTGCAAGTACATGTGCATGTAAGTACATGCAGAGGCTCGAGGTCAATGTCAGGAGCGTTCACCTTGTTTTTTGAGATAGGTTCTCTTGCTGGCTGGGGGCTTGCCAAGTAGGCTGGACTGCAGGCCAAGTTGCCCAAGGGATCTCACTCTCTTCATCTCTCCAGCACAGGATTACAAGCACATGGTGTATAGACTTTGGACTAGGCACACATTCCCCCTGACCCCAGACTTTCTAAAGTGAGTGAGTAGGGGAAGGAGCCTGGGAAGGTCTGTGTGGTTCCTCTCATGGCTACGCTCAGTCTCTTATGTACTTACATTCTCTAGTCACATACAGGAATATTTACATCATGAGCCTAGACTAGTGCCCTGAATCTTAGATTCTCGTGGAATTATTTTAATATGCCAAGGAGAGACATGCTGAATTTCAGGACTTCTATTTCTATGACAGGATATAATCGCATAAGAACTGAACACCTACAGCAAACCCAATACAGACAGGACCACTCAGGACACTGGTGTTTCAGTTTGGAATGTTCAATGTTCGGATGGCCGCCCTAAGCAGAGGGTCCCAAAGAGTTGAAATGGCCGCTTAGAGAAAGGGCATAAAATTGGAAATATCACCTGTGGCCTCACACTGAGCTGTAGAAACGTGAATTGCAGATGTTTACCCCTGTTTCTTATGTATCAAATACAAGTTTGTAGAAGATATTTTTCTTACCTCTTTCCTACCGACTTATTTAAAGAACAGCATTTGCTGTTAATTTAGAGTTCAGATGTGGAGATGGTTTACATCTTATCTTAAGAACAACTAGACTTTCCTAGAGGGGACACGGTGACTGAGGGCGAGAGTGTTTTCATTCCCCAAAAGCATAGAGAGCTGCCCTTAGAGGAACCCAGAGAGGTTGTCGCTGGGATCAGGTGGGGAAGGATAAGTTCAGGCACAGTTAAAACAGTTTCTCACCTGATGCTCACAGCCTTGCCGAGGTTACTCTGCTCTGCATCACAAAGCCCACACCCTACATCCTGCCCTTCCTTTGCTTTGCTGACTTTCTGGTTCTGCCAGTGGAAGGTAAACAGAAATGGTAAGAGAGCAACCCCAGTTTCCACCTCCAAGCCTTAGGGCCTTTGCTGTCTGTAGCAACAAAGTGCGCTCCACAGTGTGAGAGCCCCTGTGAGTCCTTCAGCTCTGTCTGGATCAGTATCACAGGCTGGTTTAAGTTTCAAGTAGCAAACTCAGCGGAGGGCAGTGTCTCTGTGTTCATCGCCCTTTATGCTGTCCTAGAACCGTCTTCTGTTTCCCACTTCTTCTTCTTGGTCAGAATCTTTGGAACCAGCTCTTATGTAAAGTATCTTGAGGCTGGGGGTGTAGTTCAGCAAGAGTGCAGGTGCCGTGTGCATCAGGCTCCAAGTTCGATTCCAGCATCAAAACAAACCAACAACCAGCTAAAAAGCAAACATCTTGAATAAAACTCCTCTGTTTTCAATACCTAGTACCTTTTCTCTTTCATTAAAATTAACTTTCATCAATATATCTTCTTACAAACTAATATGTTTTATTTTTAAAAAATGTTTTATTTATTATTTTTACTTTATGTGTATGAGTGTTATGCCTGCGTGTAGATAAGTGTGCCCATGTTGTGCAATGCCTATGGAGGACAGAAGAGGCTGTTGGGTCCCCTAGAACTGGAGTTACAGACAGCTGTTAGCTGCCATGTGGGTGCTGGGATTCGAACCCGGGTCTTCTGCAAGAATAGTCACAAACTAGTATTTTTTTAAGTAAGTTAATATTTTTAATACAGCTCTTGCAATGACGCATTTTCTTTCTTGAAGATAACTTTCTACAGTCTATCTTTTTAATGTCCTTATTTCTTTATTTTAATGGCTTGAAACATTCATGACTCCAAAAATTTGTATGGTGGCCAGAGTCCGTTTTCCTTAACTTCCAGCATGACTGTCCGTGATAAATCAAATGTCTATAAAGCCACTTGACACACAGAAGTACAATGAATTAAAACCGTGGAGAGAAAACTAGACAATGCTTCCATCCAGAAAACACACACAAAGCTTAAGAGAAAAAGAAGACAGAATCACAGCTGCAAGAACAGGATGCTGATACTCCTGAAAGCTTGGGAAATGACCATTTAAACTCACCCCCCAAATGCTGTATGCAGATAATGTGTTGCTGATGCTTCTAAAGAAACCGTAAGACCCTGGCCTGCCTTTCAACAGAAAGCATCCAGACGAATATTCCCCTTTTCTTACATAATTGGAGAACAGAAAACCTCCCTAGCACTAGGATTATGTGCATCTTATCTCATTTATCTGATAGACGGGGAAACAAGGTATTTCATAGAAACTGATTGTGGACATAATTAAATCACATCTCTCCAGAATGAACTTTTAAGCATTTTTGAAGGAAAAAAAAATTAAGTCACCTTCTTCTCAGAAAGGTTAGAACTGAATCATTTTGGGAAGACTTGAGCTGTGGTTATGGCTATGAAGGAATCGACTCTCTAGTGGTACCCAGGGGTGGATGGGGTCTGTGCATTCCCTGCTCCTGCCCCGAGCATCACTCATCAGCCCCACCTCATCAGTTGTACTTTCAGTGATAGCCTCTCCAGAGATAGCAAGTTTTTGTTTTTGTTTTTGTTTTTTTTTTCCTATCTGGCTCTAGCAAGTCAACCCTTGCAATCTATGCTGAGGAACTAGGTGATGGTGACATCTATCGGGAAAAGGGATTCAACTAAGATGAGTGTGTGGCAAATGAGCTGAGAAGGAACTTGAGGATTTTGACAGTTAATTCAGCTACTCAGAAAGTTTAGTAT